AAATTAGTTTTCCGCTGCTCTAATGCCTCGTGAAAGTAAAATCTCGGTAGGATCGATAGTTTTTTTAAGTCGGATTTTTAGTGACGTCGTGTGAAAACCAACGATAGCGTCCTACTTGTACTTTTTCTTCCTTCCATCGACGCACAACCAAAAATAATTTTTTGAGTCACAGATTGACCCTTGACGAAACAGTAGTCGTCCACCGAGAACTAAGGTCTTGTACATGCAGCTGACGACGTGATGTACGTTTTTTAGATCGGCGCCATCTTTTACAGCAGACTTTTATCGAAAAACTTCACTGTCGAAATTATCCCTAAAGGAGAACAAGGTTGAAAAAGTATCGGGAAGTGGGCTCGCATTTGAAGATCTGTAAACAGTGTACAGGAGATTAGGAAAGGAAAGGCTTCAGTTGCGATCGTTGCACCTACAACCACGGTCTTCATCTCCGATGATCGCCATCCGCACGAGTGACCACCACGGCTCGAATTTTGGCTACAATGGTCAAGTACTTCGAAGAAAACATCCAGTGTTAGGTATAAAGGTGAACCCGCTACCTCTTCTTTTTCAACTGGTGAGACATCACCGTAATAATATTAATAAACGGCTTTAAGAATGGCTTTCTTACTTTGCCAAGAAACCACACGTTTTCAGTAGCTATGTGCATTATGCGTATGCGCGCGTATTTTGCTTTAACGGCCTCGAACCACGCGTGTTTTTCCGATTTTTGTGACGTCAGCGCAGTTAATTAACCGTGAATTTCTGGCGTTTCCTTCAGTAATTATTTTTTAAAAATAGCCTCATTTCTTAACAGTTGCATTACCTTTATAATGTCCTTTCTTCGTTAACATCTGTAAGAGCTAAATTCCTCTGTTAAGAAAAATTACAAATTTCAACATATTGGCAAAACCGTCTTAATGTCCCCATTTTTTTTCCTCTTTAAAATGTTAAGCGGTATCGTTAACATAGTGTGGCAAAGTTTAAAGACATTTCACAGAGGGAATTTTGTCTGCCTGGGATGCGATGTTCATGCATTTCTGGAAAATGAAACTTGATAAAGGAGCCTTCTTGTATGGTTAACATTAACAATCTCGTGAACAAATCGCAAGGAAAAAAATAGATGTCCTTTGGTAATTTCAACTAGGGTTATTTCCAGGAGCCACCTTAATTTTTTTGTCCCATTCTGCTTAACAATCAACACAAATTTCTCTTTCAACTGAAAATGTGTTTTTTTGTGGCCGAAAGAATTCTCATTGTTGACTAATGAAATAATGCTTGAAGTTATGTTTCCGCGAAAGACTATTTCCAAGTTAGAGCAGAATTCATGGTAAATACTTATCCAGCTTCTTCATTTACCCTGCTAGAAACCATTTCGTTCAATGGAAGCAATTATTATTTGGTCATAAATTTGTAGCATTTTATCTGTTCAGTTTCCTCTGTCTCGCCAAGACGCATTTTTTGTTATTTTATTTTGGAAAGATAATTGTGGTTCTATTAAATATGGCGCCTTAAAAATTACAATTATACGTTTCATTAAAATCTTGGTATGGTATATTTTCAAACGAGACAATAAGATTAGAGCTAAACTGTAGCGTTTTTATTAAAATTATAACGAAATTTTTTTTGAATGCAGCATTATAATTTGAGCTATCATTGACTGCACTTTTTGTGAAGCCAGAGAAAGCGCCATTTAAAAAGTGTTTCCTCATTTTTTTTTTTTTTTGCCCTTTAGTAAAATACCTTGTAGCCTTTTACTTTTAGCCAAAGTTTGTTATTTAGTATTCACTTCTTCCTGTTGCCGATTCTAATCAGTTTCGCACTAGGTTAATTTACCAAGCAATTATGGCTAGTTTAAAATCCTTCAAAAAGTGAAAGTGTGTTTTACCGACGGTTTCGGTAAATCATTTCCTCTTTTCAGGGCCTCTTTGTGATTAAAATTTAACAGTTTGCAAAAAGGGCCGATTATTTACCATTTCACAGCGCTTGAACAGCCATTGTGTACTGAGCTAAATGACTGTGTATTTTGTCTACATTTCCCACAACAACCTATACGCCACAACAAATAATTATTTATTTATAAGAAACCTAGTCTGTTCAAGTTTCCTGTTCGCAGTATATAATCGGATCAGCAATAATTTTAAGAACCGGTTTTGCTTACTTCGATGGACATACTCGAGTTCAGTATCATTTTAGGTGGGAGAAGACGGCGAGTGTGAACTTGGCCCTAACGAAAATGTTTGACGGTGAGGCTATTTATGCCCCCTCGATTGCTTTGTTCGAGATCAGTTACTTTTTAATAGTAAGCCTATTCCTGTCGATGGAACCGGCTTTACAGTAAGTGGATTGCCTCGTAAGTAACGCCAAGATTTCTGTTATATTATTTTTAATTGGTGTGACTGTACTAAATTTTGACCCCTGGGGAAAACACTGCAGCTTGCGAATTGCAAGACAAATTTATTTAATCCTTTTTTCTTTTCTTTGCATCAGCTAAGAACGGCGATAAGTGTCAACACACAGTCAAGGAGGGGTCGTTAAAATAATTTTAATCGGATTTTTTTCAAGAGCCTTCAATTTTTTTAAAAAGATTTGTTCCGTGATATCTTGCTTGTGATCAATTAAAATTATGCCAAAAGCAATAACTCTTTTCTCTTCGCTTTTGTTCATTACGTAAGCATATCAGTCATTTCTAAATAACTAGGGTAAATAAAGCCTTTAATGTATGAAAGAGAACTGCCTAGAATAAATAGACCTTGCTATAACAAAAGAGAAATGATCTTGACGATGGATGGCGGTGCAAAAAGAATGGCGCCAGAAGCAACTGAAAATTGAGCCTCATAAACTATATCTGATTGTTACGTTAGAGTCATTGCCAAGCTTAGTAAGGTAATGTTACGACAGTAGGTTTTTTAAACCTAGTTCCAGTCAATATTATTCGTATTCTAATTTTAGCGATATATATTTCTCCTCACTGTTAATATTTTTAAAGTTAAGGTGATTTTACTATTTCTGGGTTTGATTCCAGTCTGTAGTGACATTTGTAGTCTTCTGTGTTGTTGATTATATCATTGAAGCAGTAATTTTTCCCAATCTTCTCATGACCAAATATTTTGCGACTAATTTGAAAAATACAATGATGAGACGGAAAAGTTTTCCTCGCTTTTGACCTGATAGTAGTTAGCCTTGATACCGGTTAACATGGTGTTTTTTTTATCACTGAAAAAAAAAAAATTAAAAAAAAAAAAAACACACACATTGTCAAAAAACCGGCAAGTTTATATTACAGCTTGACTATTACCCCTAACATTTTTAAAAGACGGCTAATATGAAATACAAAATAAAGAGTATACGATCTGTCTGGATGAGTAGGCAAAGCCCTTCAATGAACATTTTTTATTCTGGAAAATTTATGGTAGTCATATTGTCCGTCTGTATTGCCCAAATTCCACATCGGCGATATATGAATAGAAAAAAATTGTATTGGTTTTTCTCTTTCTTTTTTCAAAGCACTTGTACACTGTTCATCCTTTCAATGCTCTGATTTTGGTCGTTATAAATCAATGTTAGTAACAAACCTATAGCAATCATTCAGCAACCCGTTCGCCAATTTCACATTCCCCATAATACACATTGTTTACCCGCCATTGCTGCAATGCCGGGAAGAAATTGCAATGAATGATAGGGTTTTGAGAAATTGTGAGGAGACGGGACGGCGGGTGGTAGTGGTAGGGGGAATGAAGTGCATTATGGGCAATGTGAAAATAGCAAATAGAAAGGTATGGAATACAACAAGAATTAGTAGAAGGAGCTAACCATAAAATGGAAGAATTCAGCGAAAATCGTAAGGATTAAGGAGTGCGAATTTACACTTGATCAATGCTTCGGTTTACATTGTGTCAAAAAAGGAAACATTTCTATATCCGGAATGCAAATAGCAAATATAGACCTTTCGCAGTGACCCATGGCTGTCAACGAAAATCGCCAAATGTGTTCAGGATACAGTTGGAAACTAATCTCTCATTCCTCAAGCAGTCGACTTCTGTAGAAGAAAACAGTTACTTCGCTTTCAACTCAAAAACAAGCGAATATTAAATGAAAGAACAACGGAAAAGTCAGGAATGAAAACCTTAATTTAGCATCCAAAAGAAATATTTGAATAGCTTCAGGGCATGACATTTGTTTTACTTAATGTGTAAATACCGGCTGAATCTAGATGACGTCGTCAGTATTTGCTATAATGCAAACGTTATTTGGGGAACTTTGAAATGTTAGAGCCTACGCTAAGTCTTTGGCTTTGAAGGCTTTTGATCTAGATTGATCTTGTAATCAAATGAATGTCTTGTTTTAATTTTCGTTAAATCGAACAAATGAATTCACAGACGAGCAATTGAGTTACGGCTTTCACCTTGAACTCAAACGAAAACCATTTAATTACACTCTTAACTGGTTCCATCATTAAAATTTATCAATTTAATTAAATAATAAGTGATCCTCTGATTAATTGATTACCTCTCTGGACAAAGAGCCCCGTTTGGACTTTTTCTGTCTGTTTAATAATAGCCCTAAAGTGCTAACCTCAATATAATTTGTTCCATGTCCAAGTTTGTTAACCAAAAGAAAGGCGTTAATAACGATTAAGGCATTAAGACATCTTTAATGCCTCCGACAAATTTTTATTGTTAAACAATGAAAGCTATTTATTGCGCTGCAAATTATTCACACCGGCAAGCCAACAACAGGCATATGGTCGATCGTTGCTTCTCCTACATCGAGGAATGATTGTCGGTTAAAACAGGAACGAGCACAAGATCTTTGTTTTCTAGGTCACATGCGGACCACACGTATTTGTGCTGACTTTATTAAGTATTATGTTTAGAACATAGCCGACTCATTGTTCTGTTGATGTTTGTCAAGTTCATTCAGTCATGCAAATGATGTTGATGTTTCTTTTGTTCTGTTTCTTGTACACACAGGCGCATTAAAGTTATCGGCACAAATTTCTCAAAATGTCTGAGGCAGGAAATATGACGGGCGCACCTCCACCGACGGGTATTAATCCCACCTCAAGCAGCATTGTCGCCGCCGTTTTCGTCGGCATTCTTATTTTGGTTACGCTGTTCGGGAACATCCTGGTCTGCGTCAGTTTCTACTGTTTTGCAAGCCTACGGACCATCTGTAACTACTTCATTGTTAGTTTAAGCGTAGCAGATATCTTGGTTGCTCTGCTTGCTATGCCTTTCTGGTTCATAGTTCAACTTAACAATACTAAATGGCCTAGCAACTTTTCAAATGAACTGGGTTTATTTTGGAACTGCATCGACATATTCAGTGGCACGTCCTCTATAATGAATCTTACAGCAGTCAGTGTGGATCGGATGCTGGCAATTGTGAAGCCCTTCAAATATCCAAAGATACTTACGCCCAAGAGCGCTGTGATTATCATTCTATCTGTGTGGATATACTCGGCTATTATCGCTTGTTTGAGGCTTATCAAGTGGCCTGGCTATCAACATTTTGTGTCTGCAGTAAGCTTTTTTCTCCCCTTGTCACTTGTTATCGTCATGTACACTGTCATATTTGTCGTTGTGAAAATCCAAGTGCATAGAATTGGTTCCACTGGCGGTAAAGATCATGCCACGGAGATGAAAGCCGCAAAAACCATCGCGGTTGTCATTGGTGCTTTTGTAATTTGCTGGCTCCCGTTTTTCGTTATCGTGGTCGGTCACGCCAACCACAAGAAATTCAGTTATCCTATAGAGGTGTATAACATGTTTAAGTGGATGGAGTACCTGAATTCGTGCCTCAATCCAGTCATTTACACCTGTATGAATCGTAACTATAGGAGCGCATTCAGACGCTTGTTTAATAGGGTTTACTTGGAGCAGACAGTTGGAAGTACCCGACGGGGTTCCGCCGTCAGCATGTACCTTAGCAGACGTGGATCTGCTGTGAATGCCTATCTACGTAAGCCGCACGCATCTGTTCCTCATACTGCTGTTACTAACATGGATTTACTGTACAGCGAGAGCTAGAAACACAGAAACTGATGATAGAGGGTATGTGATAGTCGGGCGTATGGGAATAGTTAGGGAGCTTAAGCAACCACGACGACGACCACAGCGACGACTTAAAAAAACAATAGGTTTAATGATCAATACAATACTTTTTGGTAAATTTTCTTTGACGTCCACTGCACGACTACGACGTGAAACCTCCTAATTTGACGTTTTGTGGAGGACGTGGACATGCGACGACGAATTTTCCTTCCTCTTTTTGAACCTGAATAATTAAGCAGGAAACGTCGCCTGCATTTGACACATTGAGCGGGTCTAAATTGACGCGGTTAAGTTTGAAAGAACGCAAATTTATTTTTCAACCGACGTTTTCACTGCCGTCGTCGTCGTAATTAGCTTAAGGTTCCTATTATGGGCAAGGAAGTGGCGTCTAAATCTCAATGAGAAATCTGGAGACTGCTTACCCGTTGAAAACACTCTCAATAACTGAGAGTGTATACAAGAATAAGCTTAGGTAAGATTATAGTAGCAGTTTTCTTCCCTGGAGGATATCGTGATACCCTAACTTGCCGAAGGAATCAAACCTCTATCGATATCGCGTACTTCCATCAAACTGTTGGATGTGTGGATTCAGATCCTAAATTGTGATTATTCACGTTTCACGTTTCTATTGTTAATTAAAAGTCTGTTTCACAATTAGCTCTTTAAGGCTGATGGAAGAAGTCATAGAAGGTTCGAACCTCTTTATCAAATCTTTAGGCGAAACATTTTCGGATTTCTTAACCTGTTTTCGATTTGTCTTTAATTGAAACTGTGTAAAAGCGGTAAGAAACTCGATTCATGCGTCAGTCACAAAGATTACAGTTTATGTGGAAATTGTTCATGTTGTGACAGCTATAAAAGTTGTGATGAATTGAGTATTAATGTCTTTTACTGTCAAAGAGATAACATTCATAATTACGTTAATTTGATCACGAGCAAGTTTTATTTGACATGCAGCTGACTGCACAAAGGTTTTCATGTTTACTGAAGCGGCGGACCTACTCAGCGTACTAAGTTTCAAATGTGTCAAATTGTGACGTCGCTTGGTATGAGGGAATAGAAACTATGTAGAAACGAAATAAGATTTTTTGTTATCCCCCTTTTTTTCTCCCAGTTACAGCTGCAACTACTCTTTTAGAAACGTTTGCAACACGATTTCGCCTCAAGGGGACAGTAAGGTCTAAGTTTGGTCGAGAGGAGAGGTTAATGACGCAGTGAAGAGAACGAATTGTTTTATTAGCCTCATCTCGATTTATTAGCATTTCACTGACTACTAAGGCTTAAATAAATATTTTAGAGGTTAAAATTATTGTTATTTAAAACCTATGCGAGAATATCTTTCCTACCCTACATATGTACTCGTTAAAAAAATGTGCACAGGAGCTAGTTAATAACGAAATGTTGTTTTATAGATCGCAAGCAAGATGTTTCCATCTTATTTAATTAGAGTAAGACACAAAGCAACGGGATAATTGTTAAACAAGAAATTAACTGTTATTAAAAAGGATAATTATTATTGCCTTAAGGCTTACAACTATGAAAACTGAAAGAATAGAAAAGAATAGAGTGCAAATATATAGATTATGAATGGTATTTATACCGATAAGAATGTAAATATCGCCTTTATCGTCTATTAAAAATAAAATTTTATTAGCTTCTTGCGAGTTTTTTGACACCATATAACGCGGGAGAAGTTCCATTTAGGACTATAAAAATATTTCGACAGTTGAATAGTATTTACATAGCCGGTAATTACTGAGTAAATGTAATCCTGACTTTTTTACATGTTTTTTTCTTGTTTCTGGTACCAGCAGCAGATATTTACTTTGAGATGTGATTGAGTATTTACATCAGGGTCAACACCTCTATTGATTGGGCAGTAAATTACATAATAGTTTTAATTCGTCTCCCGGTGACACTCAAACGGGCGGACTTAGAGGAGGTGGGTTTGGGGCCGCAGCCTTCAATATCCTTGAATAGAGCCACGTGACCACTTGATTGGAGTCCCGCTCTAACCATAAGCTTCATTACCATTTTAAATAGCCAACTGATTTGCCTCCGTCTATGGAGATTTTGCGGGATCACCAGTGCCGTCTTCGTGAAATAAGCCTTATAAATGCACTTTTTTAAGACGGAAAAGCCTTTAGTTCTTGACATCAATGTCTCCCGAATTCGTATTACATGATGGAATTCCGTTGCATATTGTGTATACGATGTCATGACGTGTCACCCAGTTCTATCATAGTGCGAAGGATGCAATCCATTCTTGACCTGCTTTAACAGTACCCGTTTGCAAATCTTTTTTGAAGCATAATATTCAGATCTATCCGTAAGCTTTTCCCATGGACCCCAAAACTCGTTAAAATTTTTGGGATCAGCCTCGGGGCTGATCATTGGATAAACTACTGGCAAAGCTGAAGTGCGGTAATAATCCAATCTTTCCTTCAGCTCCCTTACTTTCCCAGGATAAGCGTGGGAAACATCTTTGTATTCACAAGGATCTAAAACAAGAAGACTTGATATTATCGATATGCACCAGACTTAAATTCATCATCTTATACTACGATATGAGAAATTTCTGCAATTTGATTGGCTTAGAGCGTGGTATTTTAGCTTAATTTGAAATACCTACATGGAAAATTACAAAACCTTTGCGGGCAGTAGTATCAACAAATAATAGCATGATTTGTACGTGATTTTTGGCATAAATACGACTTGTGACATTTCAAAATTGTCTCAAATTTTACTCGCCTAGTGGCTCGTGAAATTACGTAAAACAATTTTGAAATATCACTCGTGGTAGTTTTGCCAAATATCACTACAAATCATGCTATTACCTATACAAATTGATATTATTACGAATAAGCCGAACCTATCGACATCCCAGTCCAAGCAGTATGCAGTTTGCTTATGAATCTACGGTCACAGTCGCACCACAACTAACAGACACCTCTCCAAAACGGCCACCTCTCTACAACGGCCATGTTTTTGGCGGACAGTCCATACACGCTTGTTTCAACCTCTCTACAACAGCCACCTCCCTACAATGGCCTCTTTTTTCAGTACCCAAGGTGACCGTTGTAGAGAGGTTCAACTGTATATAGTTTAATAGCCTTATGCTCCCACGAGTGTCCTGTAGCTCGGTGGCAGAGAATCTGGACTAGTACCGGGTCATAGGATCGACCAGGAGCCGATTCTGATTGGAGAAATTGGGTTCCGCCCATGGTACTAGTCCTTTTTTGTACTTCGATATGCCTTTATGTTTTTTTGTTTTTTTATGAAGACTTAGGTTCCACCCTTTTCCATGATCAGGAGCCCATAATCTATTATGGGCTCTGGCCTGCCCGTGAGCTTAAATTTTATTGTAATGCTAACTAATGACAGAGTTGTTTATATTTTTTGGTGGAAGGAGGAGGGGTAAGCCTTAAAAAACCTTCATGGCCATTGATAATAGATTTGCCTCAAAGCGGTGACTTTAAAAGTTATTGATTATTCTCACCGTCATCGAGCTTAAACAGACAAGCCTGGTGATTCTTGGAATTGCACATGTTCCTCCCATTTGTCCAAGGGCCACAATGGATTACCGCTCCCGGAAGAGTTGGCGGGTTTCCTTGCCAGGGGGGTGGTCTGAGGGTTGGATATGGCGCATGCCAGCCTAACTCAAAGGAGTCATCCATTCCCACTACAAGTTTGAAGTTTCCTTTCCGAATGCCTTCAAACTTTAACCTTGTAATAAATATAGAAAAGAAAACAACAAAAACATCAAATGAAGGAATGGCTCATAGTTACCCGAAGGCTGATTAGCGCTAACCCGGGTTAAATTTTAATCCAGATATCTTTTTTGTTTGCAGCATTTTCTTCGATAATTTTCTCCATTCTATTTAGAGCATCCTCTCAACAAATTGTAGACAATTGTAGAATTAAACTGAGTTTGCTATAAAAGCTTTAATATCTAAATTCAAATTTCAGATTAACCTTGGGTTATCTTAATCCAGCTTCGAACAACCTGGGGTCCCGGTTTCTGAAAGGCTGATTAGCACTAATGGAAGATTAATATTTTGTTCCAGTTTCGTTTTTACCTTTCTATGTTTTGCTTAGACTAACACTTTGTGTTATCATCACCGTATCTCAGAGTAACGTTTCAACAATATTTTGTACGCACGAGTTACGTTGTTCTTAGACAAGAAAACATTCCTCAAAATTTGGCTTAATTCTGGGTGAAACTTTACCATCTTTCGATTTTAGCAAAAACGCCTTATAAGTATAATTCATTTTCAATTTGACCAATGTTTTTGTTAAGAGTGACAATGGAAACGAGTTAGATAGGAATCAACACGGTATATAGAGTAGGAAAGAGATCACGGAAGCATTTGCATTGTCTGCTTGAACCAACCAACTTATATTACTTAAAATCTGAAATGATAAAATCGTGGTCTTTCAAGAAGATCAGACATCTAATTCTACAGTATCAAGATGTGATCTGTAGTAAAAAGCATTCATTTCCCTGTGTGTAGGGAGAAACTAACCTCGGGTCTATATTATGTAGTATTTCTTCCCGAGGTGACGGTGCATCATTTGCTATGGTTTCCCAGACATTCATTCCATCCGCTCCTGTCGATACAAGCTCCGCATCACCTCCTGCTAAGTGATAAAGGGTTGGTAGCCAGTCTGTGGCATCGATAAGTTCTGTACACACACGTTTCTTCTGTTTAATGAGATCACTAGCAGTATAGACGAATCCGACTCCTTTTACTCCACCCTCCCAAACGGTTGCTTTGCCTGCTCGGAAAGGATAATTTGAACCCGCGTTCCTGAAAGAGAAACAGGATTGAAAAAACGATCATGATCATTTCGCTCCCTGCAAGTAAAGTAATCTTAGACAGTCTTAGATTCTGGATTCCAAGCTATGGATTCTGGATTCCAGGAAATGGCGTCCGGATTGTTTTTTAGTGAAGTTTGGATTCCGGATTCTAATTGTTAGTGGGATTCCGGATTCCTTGAAAAGTATTAGGGATTCCAAAACCCATGATTCCTGATTCCTCCAGCAAAAATTTCCCGGATTCCCTAATTACGTGTGGGGAATTAATTTTTTGGCTTCATATCAACTGAGAAACACGACACGCATCAGCTTTCTTTTGAAGCAACAAACACAAAGACATATTTTATATTTATATTATTATACATTGTACTCCCTATCTGTCTTTTCATTGGCTAAAAGCCTACAGCTAATTTTGGAAATCAGCACAACCAAGAGATTAGTTCGTTATCTGCTACCAGATTAGTGACTTATCTATAGGTTGTGCACGCAATGCTTTATTTCCATATTTTCCTTATTTTCTTGAAAACAATGTAAGTGTTATCAGCCTTGACCTTCGGCTCGGCTGATAACTCTTACCTCGACCTTGATTATTCCGGATATCTCTAAAACCTCACCCAATAATTGTTTTTTACCAGTTAAGTCCATAGGGTGCTCCTCCATTATCTGTGGTAAAGATTATAACAGAATCCTGCATCATTCCGCGACTGGCAAGAGCCGCCCTTATTTCTCCGACAGAGTTATCCAGGGCTGTTACCATGGCTGCGTACTTCTGTCTTTGTGGACTTTTGATAAAGCTAAATTTCTGAAGAGAATGACGAAAACAAACAGAAGAGGACGTGAAGTTCAATTTTACAACGTTGATGTTGACTGCCGGAATGCGCGCAGTTAACAGGATGTGACCCTACGACTTTAACACGGAGGTCCCGGTAGCCCAGTGGGTAGGGCGTCCGAGCTAGTTATCTACACCCTTCAAAAATTCGATGTTTTATTATGGTAGAGCTCACTATCGTGTATCGTACAAGAGCTTTTATAGGTATGGAATTCATTTCCTCGGCATAGGTACAACCATAGTACAGTTGTCGTTGTACAGCAGTGGACAGAGCTGAAAGTTACAGTCATATAAGCCGGGGGATGTCTTTGCCTTGTTCAGGTTATGATATCTTGCCGACTATCTTGCTTACTTTTTCCTTAAAAGTGATGAATTTTTTCATTTCACATGTTGCTCTAATGATGCGAAATGTATTGGTAACTTTGTTTTTCACGTCCTTTTCCCCACTGGAGCCTCCAAAGTCAATAGAGATGATGTCGTGAGATGATCTAATTCAGAGGGAAGTGAGTTTGTATACTTCGCTGGTATCAAATTAGTTTCTTTGACTCCTGGCATTCTTACTCTTTTTTCTAGGACTAGATGGAAGTCAACGAAGAGTTACCATGACTCACGATGCGACCAAAACACAACTCAAATTTATTTCATTTTACACGAGTCAAACACAATTTATACACACTTTGTTCACTCATCACCACATAGTATTTTTGGTTACCTGAACAAGATCTTCTGGAGCCTGAAGAGGATCGTTCTTATTGGCTGAATGCACCGCTTGATGAGCAAGGTATAAAAACATCGGCTTAGAAAACATCATGGGCGTTAATCTTTTTTATCGCTTCCTGTGTAAACAGTTCTGTTCCATAGATTCCAGTTCTTTTGACCGGCTAAAAAAAAAAATGAGCAGACAAACAACATTTGACGTGAAACGCCCGTGCACTTGGTCACTTGAAAGATCTTGCGCATGCAATCGCTCATAGCGCACACCTAAGGGACCGGTCATTTATTATCGCCTGGTGGGGGGGGGAGCATATTAGGGGGTATCACTTGGTTTTGGGGAGAAAAAAAGGGGCATCAGTCGTAACTAAGAACCCAAAATGGAGGACACCACCTGAGGTAAGGTATTCTGACGCTAATTTACCATGCGCCATTGCGCCAACATATTGTTATGAGTACGGAGATGAGAACAATCATCTACAGTACTAGTCGACTATGGATAACTCGAACCTTCTAGGGAAATCGAAAAAAGTTTTCCCTTAACGGTAGTTCCAGTTATCTGGAGTTTGAAGCACAGACCCCGCCTTTTACTGCCGAGAAGAGTGCAAAAGCACTCCTTTAAACGCTAGCTCCACCATACAAATGCTGTTAAAGGCTAAGGTTTCCAGAGTTTCAGCGGCTCATCCCCGCCCAAAAATTCTTGATGTACCCCCCCGGGGTAGTAATAGGGGATTGGTAATTGCGTTCGAGCGTTTACCATTATAGCGGGGCTCCCTCGCGAGCGAAGCGCGCGTGGGACAGAGCCCCATACTCATAGAATATAGTCAACCTCTTTTCGTTTGGTTGTACGTACGTACGTACGCGGTTGGTTGGTTGTACGTACGTACGCGTCTACAGATTGTACGGGTAGGGTAGGGGAGACTATCAAAAGGAAGGGAGGGGTGTCTCAGGTGTGTCTTGGCAAACCCATATTGGCCATTCACAATATGGTCAATTGACAGCTGTCAAAACAGGATAGCCATTGACCAGTATCACACTGCCATATCGGGGGCTCATGTGTCAACTCATGTTCAATCTCATACTTTCTAGCTAATTTGAGAGCACAGGAAAACTGATAATGCACACATCCATTGGACATCAATGTTGTGATCAATTGACAGCTGTCAAAACAGGGTATCCGTTGACCAGTATCACTTGACCGTATTGCGGGCTCAGGTGTTGACCCATCGAGGTCGAGTATTTTTTGAAGTTATCCGCTGACAAGTTACTAGTTTTCAAATGATCGCAGGCTCACGTTTGATTGTTTTTTAATTCATATGAAATATGTTTTGTTTTTGTGCCGCACAATTAAAATTTTGATTTAAAACTGACCTCGGACCAGAAAATTCAGCCAGCTATTACAGGCGGTGAAGGCAGTTGCTTTTGACTTTGCTCACCAGTGTCACGCGTTGGTCACGCTCTACGTCCAATTATTACGCTCTGATTGGTCAAAATTTGACAGGTGAGCTCATGCGGAAAATTTATGCAGCATCTTGAATCTTGTTTACTTTGAGAGCTGAAGCTGACAGAGTTTTGTGTCAACTTGTGATGTTAGTCTTTTTCTACTGGATGCACAAAATGAAATTCAGCTGCTATCAGGAGTCTTCTGTTATTCATGGCTAGTTGGTTTTTGGTTGAGAAATTAATACATTACTTGTCAAAGTCGGAAATGCGATTTCGGATGGCATCGATTTCGCTTTTCACCTTGCTTGTGCGTAAGGGCTGAAAAGTCTGAAGCGATACTGGCCTTCTTTGATACCTTTGAGGAGATGCATCTCGAATGGATAAGCCTCAGTAATTATTGTGTTTGATGTTTGTTTTTGATATCTAATTTAATGAAGTCGAGCGCAGTTTATGCACGTTTGTAAGATTTGAGACAATTTGATATGACCAAGAATCTGGTTCGATATAAGCTTACAGAACTTTAAAAAGCCTTTAGACATTTTCTCACCGCAAATTGAACGAAAACGTTCCAAAAAACATTTAGTTATAATTCTGGCTGTAAAAGGAAGCTTTGAGCGATTTTCTTGCCTCGAGTTCATCTTTGAAAAAAGTAAATATCGGGAAGCCGGCTTAAAACATAAACTTAAGCTTTAAGCTTGAAGACTCAGGATTTTTAGAGACACTTTAATACTTGTCTTCGTCAATGAAAAATGTTGTCTCCGTATGTTTCAGCAAATTATATTTCTTTTATTGATTGTTGGTAGTCTCTCTTGTAATTTTAATCGCCGTGCCGTTTGTTTTCAGTTGTTCAGTGAACATCGCTTGCAGGAGTACTCACAGTGCCGCGGGTATCAAACCGGCGCTTTTAAAGATTGCATATCGATAAAACCATTTAATGAAACTGAATAAACATAATAATTTCTTTATTATGTTGGAGCTTAACTCTAGTATGTTCGCTCAAACACTCGCCACAGTTCGCACTGCAAAAGTGAGAACCGGCTGGCCGTATATGATTTTCGAAATTTTTTCAACGGTTTAAAAAGCCCACGCGTGCTACGATCGTCCTGAATATTGAATGAGTGCAAATTTGTGTTGCAAAATTTTGAAATACTGCATTCTGTCCGAGGTCTGTATGATAAAAACAGTACCTCATAGTACTGTTTCACCTCAGATGTGATGTATAAATGGTATAAAAGGTTGGTTTACACGCACCCGGAGTTGTTGGCAAGGTTTTGTAAAGTAAACTTGTCGAACGCCAAAAAATTCGGTCTGATTTTTCTTCCAGGCCTAATTAATCTTACGGTGATCAAGAGCCATTATGGCTCCTAAATGTGATCGAAGATGATTGCTATTTTTTGGGTGTACATATGAGGCTATCAACTTGATGTAAGATTTTGTTCACTCTTGGGCTGTTTGCAAATTATTTTTCTCTAAAATCACTTAGCCTTTCCCTCAAAAGTCACATGAATGTGCTATGTGCTCTAAAGTTAACTGAATTGTGGAATACAAGTTTATTGTTTGGTTTAAATTATAAATATATTAATGGGAGCCTCGCTTTTAGCCCTGGCTAAATCTATATATTAGAATTGACTGAGGTGGCATCATCCCCAGTATCCTTTTTTCTTAGTGATTTTTTACCTTCATATTGTCTCTGAGGTCATAGCCCCAGTAATCCTCAAACGAGCTGTGATCCCAGTAATCTTCCTTAGAGCCTAGGAACCCAAAGAATGAGTCGAAACCCCGGTACAAGGGAGTATACTCCTTGGTAAAATATCCGAGATGCCACTGAAAAAGAAATGATATTAAGCGTGCCCAGCTTGACTTGTAGCCTAAGAAAACAGCCGACATTCGGCGACGTTACCACTGGTTTTCCCGCCAAATGGCTTCTGAGAAACGATCGCAGAAATTCCACACTGATGGGGCGTCACTACCCAGATCTGGGTAGTGCTTCTGACTGGTCATGCCGCGTGGGAAATTTATTTCAACCAATCATAAGCACTACCCAGATCTGGGTAGTGACGCCTCATCAGTATGGAATTTCTGAGGTAATTTCGCAGACGTCATTTGGCGGGGAAACCACTGGTAGCGTCGCCAATTGTCGGCTGTTTTCTCAGGCTACTTGACTTGTTGATCGCATAAGGGTGAAAAAAGACGAGAAGGCTTACCCTAGAGCGTGGAAAAAATTCCAAAAAGAGACTTGCAAACAAAAAAGGATTAAGCAATACCAAAGAGGTAAAAAAAATTTTCGAAGAGCCGGTTGCTATCTAGTAGTAACTTGGCTCAGGCTCCTCAGTTCTTTCGATCATTTTTCACTGTTTCAATTTTCATCTCGCCCATGAGAACAAGAGCAGAGAATCCAAAGGGGAGGCCCCAGGGTCGAGAGCCATTATAAACAGGAATCTTGGTCTCCAAAACAGTTTTTTTTTAATGTTACATTCAAAAATAGCTCACTGGGAGACCCAAAGCAACTTTTGAAATATCTCAGAGGACAAAGACAGTACTAAGTGTCGCGTTTTGTGCAAGCTAAAATAAATGTTAAATGCTAAGTTAAAGACGGTTGCATTGATTCTCGTAAGCGTTACAATCGAAGCATTTTAAAATAATCGTCATTATCACTACCTTCCCAACAGCATGAGTCTTATAACCAAGAGCTTTCAGATACTGCGCAATCGTAACTTCTTTCAGAGGAAGGCCATATGGCTGTGCTGCGAAAATCACGAAGTGTTGAATACCTGATGGAAAAATATCATTGATTAAGCTACGTGCAAACGAACACATCAACTCCCAACAATGTTGGGAGTTGTTGCGTGCGTTTGCACGTTGCTTAATGTCTAGTTTCTACATCACCTAATTCTCGAGATATTGCCTAGCCTGCGAAAACATCCGTTTCTCCTTGCTCTTCGCCGCTGGGGACGTTTCGAGAGGAGGAACGTCTGCGACTCAGCGATAGAAATTCCATACTGATGACGTAAAATCTGTCCCGGGTCCGGTCAGAAGAGCTGATTGGTCGACGGAGTAGTTACATTGCTTTAGCTATTGTTTTCGAATGACAAACAAAAGACAAAAGGCCAAAAAGGTCAAATGTAAGCGCGAAGAATCTCTAGCAAAACAGTCAATATTTGTGGAATATAATCTTCTCTAGAAGAAGCGTTTGAGTTTTGCTGGAGCTCGTTGGCAGATGAACACAACACTTTACCAAAATCGACTAGGAGACACGTAAAATTGGACAAATTTGTATTTCGAACCCCATGACTACCGGATTTATTATGTAAACATTGATTTGCGTAATCAGTATGGAATTTTTGCCGCTGAGTCGCAGACGTTCCCCCGTGCGAAATGTCCCCAGCGGTGAACAGCGAGGAGAAACGGACGTTTTCGCAGGCTACATACTGCCCAGCGACAATCGCTTCTAGGTCGGTAGGTACGTCATGTATTGGGAATCATAATGTACCGAACATACATAATATATCAAAAAACATATAATTATACCATTACTGCATTAGGCTACCTTACTTCGACTTACCAAGGTGAATCGGATGCTTTCCTGTCATGATAGACGCTCTGGTTGGGGTGCACATTGGCGACACATAGTAGTTGTTTAATATGACGCCTTCGTTG